CAGTGTAGCCTCCAAAAGGATTGAAAATGAAATATGTTTTGTTTTCCCTTTGAGCCTGCCACAAAGCTTCAGCCAGGACTAGGCCACTCACTGTCATGACCCATTTTAAAGTATCCACAGAACAATGCTAACAAGCCATTAAGGGTCTTATCCAGAAAGCACATACATTTTACCTCTTCTGGTGTCAGCCTACAGCGAGGAAATGAGTCAGTGAGCCTATTCATATCTGCATCTTTATTTAGCTGTTCAAAATAAGAAGTCTCCCATCTTTAATCAAGTGAAGTCAATTTTACTTAATATGTAGCACAAAACACAAATCACAAATTTGCCTAAAAAAAACACATCTACAGGAAAAAATATAATCAAAGGATCTACTTTAAACATCATAAAATTATTGTATTATATACATATTAGTATAACTACCATGAATAACTCCGAAAATAACTCCCAAAATGATTGATAGCTATAGTAATAGCTTTTTGTTGATGATTATTTATGCTAAAAAAATGCAATAGCGCCTTCCTGTTTGGTGCTGTAAATCATTCCAAGAGATATCCTACCAAACCAGACACACAGCTATATAAATATACAATCTTGTCTATAGGCAAGCATAAGCTGACAGTGTCTTTGGCACATATTTCCCCAGTGAATAAATTTACTGGTATGTCTGTAAATTAATCTGCTGATGATTATTAATGTTAAAAGTTAATGTTTGCCAGACATTGAAGCACATTGTTTTTCACTCTGTGCCAGACTCACATTTTTAATAAGACATTACTGTTAAAACATTTGTAATTTTTTTAATTAAACCTTACTATTCACTTACTGGCTGTATAGCACTGACTTTTCTGCTGATATAGTCATGGTTTGACTGATGCCCGAGGCGTTCACAGTTTGATTGAGCTCCACACATTGGGACTAATGTCTACCTCACTTAACAGTCCCCTATTCTGTCAAACTAACTTCAGCTTTCAGGAGTTGGGAAGTGCCGAGTCAGCACCCAAATACTCAGGAGCAGAAGCAATCAATGCACTAGGAAACCATAGTGGTTTCTGAATTTAATGTTAGGTGCAAAAGGAAGTGTAAGGGCTTGTTTCATGGCTCCCAAATAACAACTGTACTCGATTGATTAATAATTATCCCCACTGTAGAGTGAAGCACAACTTAATTATTGTTTCTAGGAAGAGACATTTTAAGGGCCTGTGGGCTACAGTGGCCACTTACAAAATGTAATGTAGGGAATCAAAGGTACAGCATTTTAACGTTTTTTAAAAAGCGATCATCTACAGTTTATAACTTTATTAATTGGTGGTTACATATAATTAATTGCATCTGCAGCAATAAGGCTCTGTCCCTCTGTTTTTTTTGTGGGCCGGAGAGATCTATTACATAAAGACCATTAGTGAGATATTGCTTACTATGCTTGTTCAACTCTTCAAACAGTTAAATTGTTAATGAAGAAAGCAAGGTGCAATATTATTTCTTATGTTGACATATTAGATCAGAAGAAAGTCACACAATACAGAAATCAAACCATACGGAGAAAATCTGTAGAAAATAAAATAAGGGGACAAAAGTATCCTTTTGATCAAAATGTTATGAGTATAAACAAGCTAAGGAAGGCCAGAAAAGGCCTAAAGTGCACAGAAAAATATTTAGCATTCATAACACAAGGTACTGTTCAAATGATGGTGATGGAGGAGCTCTTCCACGCAAAGCATTTTGAATTCACACCCGATTTCAAATACATTCCTGAGATGTGGTGTGAAAGGTAAAGTCATTTCAAAAGAATGCATTTCAAATTCAGTTTTAATGCATCCAGGTATGAAAATTGCCTCCCATTTTGGTATGGGTATTTTGGTATTTATAATCAGATATAGCCATGAACCATTTTGGGGGGATTCTAGGCATTGACGGAGCATACACTTAAATGTTCTTAATTTTCTGCTTAATTTTCCTTGTCTCCTGCAGATCTAAACCAGAGGTCAGTTAACACAATATATGTAATACGTGCACTGACTTAAAATACACCAATGTCAGCTCACCTACAATTAGATTTTCTTTAAATGACTGCGCAAGAAGACAATCCGTGAAAGCTCATCTTATCTCTGATGTTAGCTAGGATTAAGGACGTAAAATAGGTGTTCTAAGTTTTAAATTGAAGTTTTTCCAATTGTTGAAATACTAATTTATATGAATTGCTACAGCTGTTTTCTTTATCTGCAAGTTCCTTTCTTCTACAGTACCTGTTTCCATGTACTTTTACTTTGCAAATGACAATGCAGCAGTACTATATAGCTAACATGGCTAATGCAGAACACCCAAGAAACATCTGAATTCTGCAGATGTATTGCTCTGGATTTGGGCCCTGCTAAGTCATCACAGCTAAACATCGCTGTTTTCTTCCAAGTATCTGTAACCAGAAGCCTTGGAGGATTAGTTATTGCACTGGCAGCATCCTCTCTTTCACACACTCATCATACTCAGCAAAACACATGTAGCAAATCCACATCCAAACAGAAGCAAAACAATCACAGGATGATAAAGAGCAAGGTAACAACACAACAGGCTTTAAGAGCTGATCCCTAGTTTTACAGTTAGAGTGAAATAACATAATTCGTTGTTTGAAGAGATTCATTTTCAAAACCAGTTTTTCCAATAAGACTAAAGGTGCAGATAAGACAGGCGCAGGCATACATGTAGTTCAGTTTATAGTACATTACGTGTCTAGCCAGACGTGTCCACACATGCTGGGTGACATGCACAGTCCGAACCTTCACAGACATGGGCAGACGAAACTTTACGTCATACAGTCCCAAATTCAGGAGGTCAAAATTTAAACGCAAATATCAGAATGCTAGCATGCTCACAATAAAAAAGCTAACGCGCTGATGTTTAGCGGGTATAATTTTACTGTTTTAATGTTCAACATCTTTGTTATTGTGAGTTAGCATGCTAACATTTGCTAATTAGTACTAAACACAACCCTGTTGTCATCAGTTTTGCGAAAAGATTTCCCTGGCCATGGCTCCAGATGAAATATCAGAGGATCAGATCACAAACGTTATAACTACAATTCATCCTGAGGGGGAAATCCATCCAATTGTTGTTGAGATATTTTACTAAAAAGCACAAATGTCAATCAAATGGTGGCGATAGAGGAAAATTCAGGAGCAATGTCAGTAGGATTAATCCTCTGGGGAACAAGGATGTCTGTGCAACATTTCATAGTAGTTAATCCCATAGTTTTTGAGATATTTCAGTCTCGACCAACATTGCCATTCCTTTCTACTAGTGTGGCCACTAAAAACGGTGGTATCCCTCTTTGCGAGTTAGAAGCAGAGGAACCATACATTAAACTTTAGTTTTTTGCCTTTATTTGATAGCTGACAGTGAAGCCAGGCAGAAAATGTGGGAACACGTCCCCAGCTGCAACCGTAAGCACGCCCAATAATGCAGTTTAACTGATTAAAAAATATTTCAGTAATATTGACTGACAGTTACTGGCCATCAGTTTGAGAGCTTAGCTGATTGACTATCTGGCTAATAGATCCCCACCCCACCCCACCCCACCCCCAGGGAGCTTTAAAGATCCACTGCGCTGTCAGCATTTTTATAGACATTTCTATGGAAAGAGGTCACTGTGTCCCAAATCTATACCCTGTAGGTCTGTGCAGCCTCCATAATTCATCTCGCCTGGAGATGCAGTACACACACTTTCTGTCCTATGCAATATCTATAAAACATCTCTCTAGCACAGGCAGAGTACAGACACACATACGCAGGCAACACCCACACTGTCAGGGTTGGGTTAGAGCAGTGGCCAGCAAAAAAACCCAGCATCCAATACAATGCAGTTGATTTAAGAATCCATAGCGCAGACACGAGGCACAGCAGCTATGCAGAACGAGGCAGCAGCGGCATCCACTGCATCCCAATGAGGAGCAGGGGCTGAGCTTCAGCTCCACATCGCAACAGTAAATGCCTGAAAACTCTGTAACTTGCTCAGCATGATGCATGACCAGTATGTGTGCGACTGCTGCATTATAACTACTGGTGCCACTTTCCTACCTTTCACCGTGAAGCTATAGCTGACAAGGAGGATGAATTACAGTGCTATAATGAGGACTAATTAGGGGGCAAATAATAGCCTAGATAATATTCTGAAGGATAATACCTGAAGGCTTTAAAGGACAAAAGTCTCATGAAAAAAAAATGTTAGTCATAGTTCTTGGCAAAATAGCCCTTCTCTATTTCTCTTGCCTCAAAAGACACCAACAGTTGGCTTGAAAAGCACAGACTGACTGGTTTTTCAACTCGTGTGAAAAAAACCTCATTATTCTAATTTTGGGGGGATTTTCACGTCAACACAACATTAAAAAGGATTAGGAGAAAATTAAGTGCTCCTTGTGCTTATAATCTCCTTTTCAAATTTCCCTGAGTACACTCAAAAATGCATGAAGATCATGCTAAAAATAAGGCTGCTGCTGTCCTGAGAAGGTGACACTCGGATACACAAGGTTGACAGATACATTATTAGGATATAACTAAACCCAGTACTACTGCGGCTGGTGCTACTGTCCTGTTTCATCTGCATAAGTCCCAACCTCGTTTACAGAGACTTGATACACGTTTTAGGATTCACTGGTCACAAAGACACTTTTTCAACAAAAGCAGAAATGTAGAACAAAAAAGAATGAACAGGTTTCCATAATCCTTACCATTTCAGGTTTTAACATTATGGCACTGTCAAGGACTTGACCAACAGGATGTCTTGAGATTTTGATGGATGGATTTGAGAAGATGGATGCAGAACGATAGAAAGAGAGAGGGAATGCGTAGCTATTTGAAGTCAGGAGTTTGGTGCAGGATGGATTATCCTCATAACTATCGGGCTGGTACTTGTACAGTGCTGCTGCTGCTCCTGCTAATAAACAGTCCTTCAAATCCTTTACACTGCAGTGCTGTTAAATCAACCTCTAGCCCGGCAGACTACTCACCTCCCATCGCAGCTTTCATTACAAAATTCATGATGAAGCAGTTCTGTGTTCTCTTCCTTCAGTGGTCACGTTATCGGGGACAGACCTGCAGCCAGGGGACAGAAAACACAAGCTATGACTTTATGAATACCACTGTTAGGACAGGCAGTTTCCCTCCAGTGGCTTTCATATACAAGAGTTTGATGGGATAGGGGAGGAGGATGAGGATGATGATGATGATGAGGCTCGATGCGGACAAGAAACGACCTCCAGGCGGAGATCCTTGTTTGGCAAAGGTCCACCAAAAGCACAAAAAAGAAAAGCTCTTCTAATTTTTTTCACAAAAATCACAATATCTTTAAATAGAGTTAGATCATTTTAATTCTACTTCCTGAGTAGTATGAATTTTGATCAAAATGGGATCACCCCTATCCCAAGGAACAACAGGGTGATTTAACTGGGCTAAGGTTGCTTTACTCTCCAGTTTTGTCAAAGCACCTGCGCCCTCAATTTAAAACTAATGCTCCATCTTGTGTGGATTTATGCTGATGCTGCATGGCTGCCTGTGATGTATCCTCATGGAAATAACTCCCAGAATGGGAGACATGGGTCAGGGTCAAAGATAAGCAAATGGGGGCACGATTTGTGTCAGTACATGGGCCTTAGAGAGCGTCATCTCACACAGTCTGCAAGAGCATTAGAAAAAAAGGACTCTTTTTCAAGATTCTTTCCTACAAGTTCTTACACTGCGTCTCTGGTACTAATTTGTGAGTTTATATTGAGCAATATGGCATTTGATTTCCTATGATATGACTATAATAGCTCAATAGTCAATTTATAATAACCTATGAAAATTGCCATTATTCTATAATGTTGCTGTTTGGACTGTGTCTGAGATAGGCTATCCCATGGTGCGTTTACAGACCTTACCAAATCTTTCACATTATCATTTCCTTTGATATTTCTACAGGAGTTGTAAAACTCAAGCCCGAGTTTCTAGCAACAATATTGTAGGCTACTTGATTGGGGGTTTTTTTTTATCTTTTTGTGACACAACAACCCCGCGTACTTTTGCTGCATTTTACAGCATCCCTCTGCCATTGCAGTAAAGGCTAGCAGGAATAAAATTCCTCCTGAAAACTTGCGGCACTCATCAATACATCGCTGTTTCGTCCCCGATTCATCTTGATTCGCCCAATGTCGAATCTGCACCAGCTGCGCGTCTTTAAATCATTTCCTGGTTCCCTTCCTCTTCGTCGTCATCTGCAGCAGCAGCAGCAGCAATTTCTCCTCGCATGAACCCTTACAGTAGCTACTAACTCCCAGCTCCTGGTGCCGTGCAGCATTTCGGCACAATTACAGTACAGTAGCAACCCGCAAGCTTGCATACACAAGTACATGTTTCCAGAAGCCAGTACGTTATGCGCACAATAGGCTGTGTGTGGAGGTGTATGGAAGCATCAGCATCTTCCACCGAGTCCACGAACCTATCACTATCCGGTCCCGTACAGTAATACATCACACAAACATCCCTGTCTCTGCTTGTTCGGACGCCGTTTACCTTGTTTTGATCCTCCTCCAAGTCTGTATCCCTCCAGAAAAAAGCCTAGTCGCAGATTTTTAACCACCGTCCTTCTCCTTCAGCGGCGAGAAAGCAATCACAAGTTGAGCGTCTCAAAGAAGGGATTGCGGCTCTCTGTGCGGCTCTCAGTTTGCAGACATGCCGATTGTGTCAGAGTCAGGCTGCAGGAGGAACAGAGTCTATTCCTGCAGGACGAGATGAGAACATGCAGAGGGAGAGGGGGGGAGGGAAGGAGCGCATGAATGTAATGTCACCCGAGTGAAGGTTCTATTTCATTTTCACCATTTAAACAGAAAACAAACATTCAAAAGTTAAAAATATTCCAAGTGTGCGATAATAAAATCATGCAGCTGCTCAGAATCGTAACAGAAAACAACATGTAAGATCCGGTCAGGATTTTCATAAGATTGTCGTTCATGTCCTCATAGTCCTTAATTCATTAGTTGTTTGTTCATTAAGCCATGCCTTTAGGAAACAAGGTTGATTCATTGTCATATATATATATCATACTTGCATATACTGTTCAAACCTAAAAATTGCACTGTTCACAGAAATATGTCTAAAATTGACATGATATAACAACAATTGTCTATTAACATGTCCAGCAGACACAGAGCATTAAGTTGGAGTTGTGTCCCTGGCCACCTGACAAACAAACACACCTGTTTTGCTCTGATTTTGGTCTACACCAACTCCTGAGGTAAATATTTGACTCTTCAGCTGCTAAATGCTCCATCCTCTGTGTTCACTAAACCCTCTCTTCAACCTTGCTTACAGCAAGAAGACCGGACCAAAACAGTAAAGCTGCATGCTGTAAAACCAAAACAATGAGCTGAAAGACGCTAAAACACAGTAGATCTGAGGAGAGCTTCAGTCTGGTGATAAATCTCTGTGATTTCTTCACTGAGAGTATGTTCCATATTACACGAAATCATTTCATCTATTGTTAATATAAACATATCAATTAGAGCAGCTTTAACAACTGATTGTGGGGAAAACGCCTTGGGAGCAGCTGGCATGTGCTTTATTTTTCATTGTTTGCCACTAAAATCTTCATTCTCAACTCACTTTTTGATTCAGCCCATGCTTTTCCATTTTGTTCTATGATAAAACAAGGATACATGCAAAAGTGTTCGCTGATAGATCATCACCTCTACTTTAAAATGTGTTTTTTAAAATCCAAAGTGATAGTGACAAGGCTCTTAATGAGCTGCAATAGGCTTGGGGAGCTTCTGGCAGGAAAGATCAGGACCTTTGAAACCTTTTTATTTTATTTTCCGCTGAATCCAAGGATGTACTGTGATGTAATGTCATCTGTCTCAACAGTCCCCTGAAAATCGTTTCTTGGCAGGCTGGAAAAGACTCTGCAGCAGCACATAATGTGATGCTACAGCTACCCACAAAAGTCAGTATCAGATTAGATTATATAGATACGTAGATTAGATTTAGCTTTTTCCCCCATAGCCAATATTGCCTTCCTTTACACACATAGTGAGGTATACAAGCAGAGAGCACAGAGAGGACCAAGGGGATCTCAAACTGCTGTATCTCCCATCAATTAATCAGGACACAGGAGGCTGTGTCCAGTCAACACACTCTGGCACGTGCATCCATCACCTGGTTTATGGCCCAGAAACGCTAAGAACAGCAGCATGCATGCTCACACACATGCACACACTGCTGCTGTTGTCCTCTGACTGTCCCCCATCACTACTAGCAGTTTTGATTTATAGTCTTTTGGTTTTATAGTCAGAAGTGGGCAATTTTTGCTCTTGACCCATATCTACTGTACCATCGTTTCAAGGCTGAGTATGACAAAAGAAATCTCCTCTAATGTGTATCTTCACACCTTTCTCTGTCAGACTTGTCAGGCGTGTTGTCTTGCATGGAACAAGCAATGAACAAGATACCACAACATCATGCACAATACACTTAAATGCAAGACAAAGCTTTTACTTGAATAAGATTGTTGAGTTTTCCAAATTTGCATTATTGTGAACTATTTTAATTTTAACTAGCACTTTTAATAGCACAGTATTCAAACAGCCAGGTGGTAATCGGGCACCTCTCACTGTTCTCTTTGTGTAATGTGATATGTGTTTTTTTTTTATTGTTGTTTGTTGAGTCATTGTTAGTCTCACAACAGGAGTTGAAGTCGTTGTATATTTCTTTATTGTCCACATGTCAGCATGTGGCATCTGTCCAGGTAATGAGTCATCATGGACATGTGCCAAAATAGAAAAAGTTACCAATCTATGCCTGAGCTACTGGAATGAACACACTGTGAATACACTGAATAATGCTGTGGCAGCCTATGAGACACACAATTACAATGAATGCCATTTGAAAACTGTATTAGCATTTTATACCAAAATGTGTATGGCAGAGCTCCACAGGGACTGCATGCCATTCAAAAAAGGGCAAATTAACATAGCACTTCTGTCACATAAAAAGCTGTACTGTTATTTTTCTTGCTCTCTTCAAAAATACACTTAGCTATTTTGAATATCTTGACGTAAATACATATTTGGCAATTATAATTTACAGAAAGGATGAAGATTTTGGGGCCAGAAACTTTCAACTAAGAGCAACAAAAGTATGCAAACAGTATGATAGGCAGCAGTGCAGCTTTCATAGTAAATTCTACCATAAAATTGTACCAACCAAATTGTGAGAACATAAAGGAAAAAATAAACATAAGTATATTTGATAACACGGAGAAAGCAGCACTGTACATAGTGGAGCTGATACTGAAATAGCACAGAATTGGATGCTGAACTTGTGCCTGTCGGCGCTGCTGCAGTCAAATGAAAGGTGGATTATGTTACAGGACAGCACCTTAGTGCATCTGTGCTATTTCTTAAGGCAGGATGTAGCAAAAAGGAAGGTGGCATCAGTAGATCCTGGGTGAATGGCCTTTTGAAATCTTTTCAAGATCCTTTTGAATGCTTTCATTCATGGTTACCTGCCATTAAACAGGGATATAAAGAGCCTAAAATGTGTGGTTCATTCACCAGTTTCATTATTACTGTATATACAGGACAGTTTTGATGACAAAGAGCCAGCTGTCTCACCTCACAGACCATATACCACCTCTGATTCATAAAGTATCAACTGCCGAGGAGGCTATATAAGGAACATGTATCAAATCCCATTTAAAATATGCGAGCCAGCAGAATGTCAGCTGAACGCCACGGGACACAGACACTTTGAAGCTTTGAATTGAAGTGCACTGATATGGAAAGAGTATTCAGAGGATGAACCATGTATGCAGTGGCAGCCAAAAACATCCTTTGAGGTGTGATGAGTGAAAAAACCTTTAACCATACATGCATTAACACCCAGTTGACTGACTAACACACACTTGGGACCAGAAATAGACAAAAACGTGAATGTATGTTTTAAGGTGTGGCAGTGGGTGTGGCAGTAACTGTGTTACCATGGAGCCAGTTCGAATAAGAGCACAATCAGAATAAAAGTACCTTGTATAAATACCTCAAATCGAATAAACCACTGTATGTTGTTTTAAAGAAAGAAAGAAATTGCGACAGTGTTGTGTACCAACAGTGTGGATTGGTGCATTTTATATTAAATAATTTGGAGACTCAAATTCCTCTTTTCTCTCCCAGAGAGAAGGAGGAGGGGGTTTGATTATCAACCCTCTACAGACAGCTGAAGCGACCCCAAATGAGGGAGGTTGAAAGGTTTCTCTGAGCAGCCTGATCGTAAAACTGGCCACCTTTTGATGCCGCAGCCAGATAACGCGGTGCTTGACTGTTAAACTGACAATGGAACATTGACCAGCGATTAGCGTTTTCCTGAACAGCCTATCAAAAGTCTTCGTAAGAGAGGGCAGGAAACCCTAAACTGCCCCACCACACACGTAACCATGGCAGCTGACCTTCCTCTTTGTTAATTACCTCACATCAAAGGAGATACTCCTTTTCACGCCCAGGTGTGAGAAAATCCAGGACACCAGGGACAGCCCTGAACTCCTTTGTGTAAACAGAGCACTGTCTCCTCAAAACTCCAAGCATTACCTTGTTTAATTAAATCTTTAAAGTTAGTGACTAGGTCTCTCCACTACATTTGAGTAATGACCTGACCTCCATTTTATGTGTAACCAATGCTTGTTCACAGTACTTTCTGACAATTCCTTTAGAAAGGATATGATAAAGAAATGTCCTCCTATACTCGATTAATTTCCAGCTCAAATTTAAGGTTAAAAATGACTAAATTCCCCAGCTCCTGAGAAGATTGTGTCAGGATTGATCAGAGCTATCCTCATGTAACCCGAGCTCCCCCAAGTGGACAAAATAAGTATTATATGCCATCGTCTGAAATGCCGTTAATGTATAAATGTCACGCTGTATTTACTTGTCCATAATCTGATGCCATTCGTGTAGCTTGCCTATATTCTCTAAGAATGTGTAACCGCCAGTATATCCAGAAAGCTAGTTAAATTCTTCTCCTCTGTGATTCATTCTGAAATGCTAACCTCAAAGTTTAACTAACATTATTTTTCCTTTCTATCAATTGCTAAAAAAAAAGAACGGTACAACCGTTTGACAATTGAGGTTTGATTCTGGGAAGATATTTGATTACAATAGATTTGTTTTTGATTAACTTTAATCAAACCACGCCCCAACCAACGACAGCGCGACACACGCTGTCGTTCGTTCTCTTGTGCTTCTCTCTTGTCCCTGCTGGTTCCTGGCCTCTTCAAAGTGCGCGTCAGCACGCGCCCAGCGTGCCCCGTCTCCAGGCGCAGCTAAGGCCTTTGTTCGTTTCAAGCTACACACGCGAAGTGCCACGACCTCAGCTTTCCCTCGTTTCAGCAGCTTACTTGTTTTATTTGCTTTGGTTTTGTTTTGTTAAAGTTATCAGTCTGTTAAGTTACACTAGTTTTAATTCAAGAACGACCAAGTTCTTTTTTTAGCCTTATCCCTCTAGTTAACTTCCACTGATCCCTCCTCGGACCCAGGCACGTGGCCCACCAACAGTAACAAAGGACGACCAAACCTTTGACCCGCTCCAGGGTTGGGCCCCACTACGAGTTTCTCCATTAAAGCCGACAAAAGACGGACCTCCGAAGCAATTCCCCGGCAGAGAAAGCGTCTGGCCGACAGCTTTAAGCTGTCCTAACCGAGAACGTACGGATCTCAGCCGGTGTGAGGCCGTTGACCAACACCCGCCTGGGAGAAGCCACACGCAGTAAGACCAAAACCCCGCACTCTGTGATCAGTGAGGTCCCATAGTTCTTTCATTAGTTCTCTTCCGCCGTATGA